AATCCAGTTGAGTTCAGCATCTGCGTGGTATCTTGCTCCCAATGGCAGAGTTATGGTATATATAATGTGAGTCTGGGGAGGTCTGCAACAGATCCAGGACTTCTGCAAGGGATTGCAGGACTCCTTGAGTGAGAGTCACTCCTGCTGAGTTGCATTTGAAGTCAGGGACAGGTGTAGCTGAAGTCTGGGTGCAGGGAGTCTCACCTGTGCTGTCCATGGCAGCTTTTAAGACTGATGTCAATCTTCTAAAGCTCAGGGGAGACCTTATCACTCTCTACAACTGCCTGAAAAGACAATGCAGAGAGGTGGGGGTCTTTTCTCCAAGGTATCAAGCAACAAGAGCAGAAAAATAGAACCAAATTTCACCATGAGAGGTTAAGGTTGGATATTACAAGAAATTTTTCTCCCAAAGGGTCGTTTAGCCCTGGCACAGGCTGCCCAAGGCAATGTTGGAGTCCCAATGCCTGGAGGGATTTAAAAGCTGTGTGGATGTGGCACTTGGGGACATGGATTAGTGATGGGCTGGTCAGTGCTGGGGGAATGCTTGAACTTGTTGTTCTTGTAGGGCTTTTCCAACATAAACTAGTCTATGATTCTGTGTCCCAGCTCCATACATGCTCTTCGTAAATCCTGCATGGACTTGCTGGTAGATTTGGAGAGGTTTTCACATTTTGCAGGTTACCTGGTGCAACAGGTGACAATAAAGCCTTATTTTCCAGTTCAGTTATCTTTCTGACATGATAATGAATTTCTTACAGCCCCCCAAACATATTTCTAAAGATTAGCAAGAAGATGATTTTCTGAACATTTAAGTTTAATAACTAGATCAGATAGGAAATGCAGTCCAGAAAATCTCATCCAGCTGCTTCTCCTTCTGTTAATGGATGGATACAGCCACACTCTGTAAAATCTTTCTTTGCAGACTGCAAAGCCAGAGTGGGTTGTTTGCTCAACATCCACTTGCTTCCCTGGGGCTTAAATGCCAATGGAAAGCCCCAGCTCTGGTTTGTTAATTGTCACATTTGTTTGACCAGTTCTGTTTTAAGAAAATCCTATAAAAAATGGTGAATCATTGTCTCCTGCTGATGTAAATGGTAATAGCTTTGACCCACAGAAGCAGTAGGACTCCTGACTTTTAATGACTTTTAATGACTGCTAAACTTTTAGATTTAGATTACTGGTTCAGCACCGGGTCTGGTGAAATAAACCCTCCCATGCACACCTTGGCAGTTCCCAACCTCTCAGGTACCCCAAAAGCAGCCATGCCACCAGAGGATAAGGAGCAGGAGACAAAAAACTGCAGCAATTCAACCATGGACCTCCCTGATTCAGCAAAGCACTTAGAACACAACATGTCCCCTAAAGAGTATTTAAATGTGTGCTGAAATAGTTTGGCATATCAAGCCTGAGGGCTTGACTGTGCACAAAATTTCTCAGATTAAAGGTCTGGAATGGTTTTAAACTTCCCAAGGCTCTTCCTGAATAACTTTCTGTGTGCATGTGGATAGTGCAGAGCATATTTATCCTTTATCCTGCATGTATGTATCCTTCTGGTTTCTTACTCTTTGTCCCACCTTTTCACTTGTATCTCCTATGTCCTTCTGTCATGATGAACACATGGACAAGTAGCTCCCATGGACACTGCAACAAGTAGATACTTGTACTCCAGTACCATTTTTTAATGATTCCTCTGCATGTCAGACATGGTATAGGGGTGGCCCTGTCAGTGCTGGACTCAATGATCTTACAGGGATTTTCTAACCTTAATGATTCCATGATTCTGAGCCTTAGCAAACTGTTAGCACTCAAGAAAACCACACAGATTGGAAACATTCCCTTCTTTCCATATTCCTACTTGTCTTAGCTTGCAGGATGTGGCTGGGGGTGTGTATTCTATTGCCATCTGTTAGACGTGGGGCAATTTCTTCTGTTAATTGGGCAGCTTCCTTTATCTCTTCCATGACCCATCCTCCCTCTGGGGAGACATCTTCTGTTAATGGGCCATTGAGTGTCACTGCATGGCTGATAAAATTACATCATCCCGTTGTGAGATGCTCCACCCAGAGGGAGGAGCCAAGCATTCCTACCTGGATATAATCTGAGACTTGGAATACCAGAAGCAGCCTTTTTCCACTGGATTCCCAGAGGAGCAGCTGTCTTCTCTACTGGATTCCCCAAGGAAGGCCAGGCCCATCTACACCACCACCAGACCTTCAGAGGAAGACTACACCCTTCTACAGCATCACTGCTCCAACAGAACCACATCTGCCACTCCAGGACTGCAGCCACCATTCCAACTGGACTGCTACCAACACCCACAGGGTGTCAGATTGTATTCTGATTCTGTCAGTGTTGTTTTGTATTACTGCATTCTTATTTTTATCTTTACTTTTTTTTTATTCCTAGTAAAGAACTGTTATTCTTGCTCCCATGTCTTTGCTTGAGAGCCCCTTAATTTCAAAATTATAATAATTCAGAGGGAGGGGGTTTGCATTTTAATTTCAGGGGAGGCTCCTGCCTTCTTGTCTTCCTGCAAACACCTGTCTTTTCAAACCAACTCACTACTCCACACCATCACCTCTCAGCACCTGTTAAGGCCAGTCACCTCTCAGCAGCAAGCTTAAGACCATGAAGATCCTATGGAAGGACTCATCTCGCTGTGTTGTTTGCACAGCTCTGAGCACAGCAGGTGCCTACTGCATAATCATGAGTATTACAACTGCCACAACTTGCTCCTTCTACACCTATTGACTAATAATAACTGCATTATCTCTACTGCCCTTTAAAGGTTAAGGTAATTTGGAAAAAGGCTATTTATACGGAAATCAGAGAATTGGCACAGCAAGTCAGACTGCAATAGATATACCAGGCAATTTTCCCACGTAAATAATTCCTCCCTGGAGAACCCTGACCTCCTCCTCACAGGTACACATTTTTGGGGGTCAGTGGGATGGGAGAAGGGCCAGGGAAATGGAAGTTTGGAGCAGTTTGAGTACTTCTGGGCAACTGTCACACAAATAAAAATGGACATACTGTGCAAAGCTGCTGGCAAAACCTGGTGTGATACAAATAATATAATAGGAATTTGGGATTGTGCATACAGGGTTCTTTGCAGTTCACACGGGACCTTTTGTGACTTGTGTATATGAATGCAATCAGCAAAAGGACAGAGACACAAAAAATATCCTATATAAGTAGCTGTCCTGAAATAGACCGTAAGGCAACTGTTCTGACTAAAGCATTTATTCTCTTCTTTCCTTTCACCTGAAACCTACAATTAAACCAAATGAAAAAAAATACTCAAGTACTTTTGCAACCAGCATCCATTTTTTCAGAGCCCATAGCTGGCAGATGTCTTAAATTCAGACTCATGAGACCTTAAGTTCAGAAGTCAGTTGTGCTTTTCTTTCTTACAGGGTTTTTATCTTACAGTTTTTCTTCCATTTTTTTTCTTTTCCTTTTATTTTCCTTGTTTTTTCCTTTTTTTTTTCTTTGTTCCTTTGTCCTTTTTTGTTGTTGTTTTCTTTTTTTTTTTACATGTTTCCTTTTTATTAACCCCTTTTTTATTTCTTAATTTTCACTTTTATTCTTTTGATGTTCTCTTCTTCTCTTTCTTTTCCCCTTTTCCCTTTTCTTTTTCTTTTTTCTATTTTCTTTTCATTTTAAAATTTTATTTTCTTTTCCCTTCTTGTTTTTCTTTCTCTTTTTTTCCCTTTTTATTTTTTTACTTTTCCTCTTTCCTTGTATCCATTTGGTTTTTTCTTTCCTTTCCTTCTTTTTTTCTTCTTTTTCTTTTTCTTCTTTTTCTTTTTCTTTTTCTTTTTCTTTTTCTTTTTCTTTTTCTTTTTCTTTTTCTTTTCTCCTTCTCCTTTTTCCTGCTTCCTTTCCTTTCCTTTCCTTTCCTTTCCTTTCCTTTCCTTTCCTTTCCTTTCCTTTCCTTTCCTTTCCTTTCCTTTCCTTTCCTTTCCTTTCCTTTCCTTTCCTTTCCTTTCCTTTCCTTTCCTTTCCTTTCCTTTCCTTTCCTTTCCTTTCCTTTCCTTTCCTTTCCTTTCCTTTCCTTTCCTTCCCTTCCCCTTCCCCTTCCCCTTCCCCTTCCCCTTCCCCTTCCCTTTCCCTTTCCCTTTCCCTTTCCCTTTCCCTTTCCCTTTCCCTTTCCCTTTCCCTTTCCCTTTCCCTTTCCCTTTCCCTTTCCCTTTCCCTTTCCCTTCTTTCCCTTTCCCTTTTTCCCCTTTTTCCCCTTTTTCCCCCTTTTTTCCCCTTTTTCCCCCTTTTCCCCTTTTTTCCCTTTTTTCCCCCTTTTTCCCTTTCTTTCCTTCTCCTTTCCTTTTTATATTTTCCTCCCTCTTTCTCTTCCGTTTGCAGGCAATCACCAAGCCTCCAACCCCGAAACCGACCTGAAAGCAAAAACCAGACCTCAACATTTGCTCAAGGGCACCGATCACAGACGATCAGAGAAGAGGTTTGGAACCTTTGGAACCTGCAGGCTGACAGCAGGACGTGCTGAGGTCCAGCTTGAGCAGGGGCTACCTCGGGCAGTGATTCCCGACCCTCTCACAGGAGCCAGATCTCCTGGCAGAGCGCGGTGAGTGTCCTTGTCCCTGTCCCTGTCCTTGTCCGGGCCGCTGCCCCCCAGCTCCGGGCGCGGAGCACCCCCGGCCGCGCTCACCTTCCGGCCGCAACACCGACCCGCTATTTTTGTTGCTAATCACTGTTAATCATTAACCTCTCATTAGAGTAACACCGCTGAGTCCCCGCCGTGCCCGGGGGCCGCGGCCGAGCCCCCGCCCGTGTCCCGGCCCCGCTCCCGAGGGCTGTGCCGGGATGGGAGCGGGCAGGGGATGCGCGGAGCCCCGCGGGGCCCGGCCTGCCCTCCAGGGCATCCGCGGGGCGCGGAGCCTTTTGTTATGCTAATCCGAGCTGACATCACTCCGCATATCAAAGCAGAGGGGCCGCATATAAGGCGGCTCCGGGGGCCTCCCCGGCAGAGCGGCCCCGGTCCCCGCGCAGCCCGCTCCGGGCCGAGGTAAGCGGGGACCGCAGGGCTGTGAGAGCCACTGCCGGGAGAGGTGGGAAGGGGACAGCGGCTCCGTGCAGCCCCTCGGAACGCCGAAAGTGAGGGGCTGGCCCAGAACACGGGTTTGCGAGGCGTGGGCGGAATTCCGAACAGAGGGGATGCATCCCGGAGGATGCAGGGGAGTAGGAAGACGGTGGGGGGTTCGGCGGAGAGAGGATTCTTAGAGGCTGCAAAGCAGACCGAGGAGATGCCAGAGAGAGAGGCGGCTTGGAGACTGCAAGGGAGAAGGGAGACCCGGAGGATTGCAAGGAAAAGGGAGACCCGGGAAGATGCTTGGGGCAGGGAGAACCGAGGAAATGCGAGGGAAAGGGGAGACTTGGAGACTGCAAGGGAGAGGGGATACCCGGGGGGAAACAAGGAAGGAGGAGACTCGGAGGCTGAATTAAGAGACCTGACACCCGGCAAGGAGAAGTGTGAGTGCAGGAGCGAGGGGAGGACCCAGGGGAGAGGGAGACCCAGGGGGTGGAGAGACCCGTGCCCGATGAGCTGCAGGGGAGAGGAGACACCCAGGAGTTGGATGGGACACCGGAGACCCAGGGGCTGATGGCAAAGGGGGGACATGGAGCTGCAAATGTGCAGGGCAATGCAAGGAGCTGCAGAGGAGAGAGGAGTCCGGGAGGCTGCAGGGTAGTGGGGACACCCAGGGGCTGCGAGGGAGAAGGAAGATCCAGAAGGCAGCAAGGGAGTGGTAAGACCCAGCAGCTGGAATCAACTCCACCACCAGTTCTATTCCTTTTCTCTGCTCCCACTCCTCACTGCAGGTCATCTGGGGATGTGCTACCCCTAAACCTGGCTGCTGTGTTCTTGGAGAGAGCTGCAGGCTGGCAGCAGAGTCAGGTGGATGTCTTTGTTTACTGGATGGGAAAACTGGAAAAATGTGAGCTGAATACTCACACTTTTATGTACAGTTAAAACTGTCCATTCCCATCCCTGAGTCCAGAGTCTTGGAAGTGTCTGATGGGAGTGTTTTCTGTGTGCCAGAGCGTGGCTGGCTGCAAACAGCCTTGAGGTGAAGAGAAAAGAGAGATTTGAGTTAAAAGCTGCTCCTGTTTTTAGGAGTCCACAGGCCACTTGCTGTTGGTTTGATCAGTGACCCAGAGCTCACCAGAGCTGTAAACATCACATCTGCCCAAAGTGTGTTCCACCCTTGCAAATTGCTCTTGCAAATGTAATTTGTGTTGGACTGAGTGGAAAAATGCATTATTACCTCTCCAAATAAAAGGGGTGCAATTGCATGCAAAGCTCACAGTTCTTTGGGTATGTAGGGAGGAATTAGATCATTTTTCTTCCACTCCAGGAGTTGAAAAAACCCCAAACTGTGACTTTTTCAAGGCGGGGGGGGGGGGGGGGGGGGGGAAGTAGAGAATGGTGTTGGCTGGTCAGGTTTAGTTGAGAGTGTTTAAGATGATCTGAGACATTTTACACCCAATTCTTGTGTTGTCCAGCAGTTCACAGGGGTGAGATAAGGGGTCTGAAATATCTAAATAGACACTGAAAGGCATGGGCAGGATTAAGTGTTGAAGGTTTCCAGTGTGCTTGTAGAGCAGTGGGAAGAAAAGGGTTCCCAAAGAGTAAAATCTACAGAAATACTCTGAAACAAGAAGCACGTATGCCTGGATGCTCATGGGAGCAGTGCCTTCAAGGGATGCATCAAACCCAAATCCAAGCAGGCATTAAGGAAAAACAATCCATGGCAATGAAATCCTGCCTCCCTTGTAGGCAGTCAGTTTTGTCTTGGACTTCAAGGGAGCCAGGAACTCGCCCCTAGAGGTTATTAAAATCCTTTGTAATAACAGCACTTCTCTAGAAACCCTTTAAGCCAGGCGCTGGGGTTGGGATAGCCAAAAAGCAGCCTGAATAGAAAAATATGCTGCAGATGGCAGAGAAAACACTCAGAAATATTCATTCTCCCCTGCCCAATTGCTCCACAAATGGGAATATTTAGGCAGAAAGCTGCAGCTGGGCAAAACCAGAGGTGAGGATCAGGTAGGGTAACCCTTTTTCCAGGGTAAGAGGTTTCCCAAAGCAAAGCTGACTGCTCCAACCATTCCCAGTCCCTTCCCAAACCTCCCTAAGGGGGTGTTGTGAGGGGGATGAACAGTTGCAGTTTGGGTATGCCAGTGTGCTGTGCAATGGGTTGTGAGACTCCAGAGATGCAATGTGGTGGGCAGGTTTTTCTGTTTATTTTACTGTTGTCTTTCTCATGGGATGGGAAACCACTGCAAAGACCACAAAAAGCAGCCTGGAGCGGTGTCTGAAGTGAGTAACTGAAGGGAAACCCATTTACTGCTATTAATACTGCTATTAATACTGCTGCTAAAATAAGCAAGCCATGCCCTGAAGACAGAGAGGACCCCTCTAAGGATTTAAGTCCTGCATCTGGTTTGTTTATCTGTTTGGCCTGAAGAAGGAAAAAACCAACAAAAAGAAAAGGGGTGTGAGGGTATCCTTGAGAGCTTTTTTGTCTCCTCCAGGCTGCTCCCTGGAGACAAAAATGGGATTTTATGTTTACAAAGTTGTAGCCTTTTCCGTGAGCTCCAGGTGCCAAGGACTTGGAAGACGTGAGAGGCAGAGTTAATGAGGTGAGAAGAAAAGCAAAAGGTAAAGAGCAAAACACATTTATTGTAACAGATCAGAGAGAAACATCTGCAGGGCAAGGGCACCTGCATTAAGTAGGGAAATGCAGTTTTTATTATTTGTCTTCTCTGCAGAAAAAGAAAGAGGAAAAAGAAATCTGGAGAGAACAAAGCGAGAGATAAATAGCTGAAGATTTGAGCTAATGTAAAGATCTATCTTTTTTTCTTCTTCTTCTTTCTAAGCAGTTGCACAAACTTTTTGGAGAGGGGAAGAAAAAAACCCAGTAAAGTGAAGCAGTGAATGAAGTCTTGCCATGTGCAGGGTTAAATGGAAACACACAATCAGACCATAACTCTGTGTAATTCAACCCATACGGTTTGTCTGTCTGTTGACTCGAAAGGTTGTATCGAGGCTTGGCAAGGGAGAGGACTGAGAAGGGATAATCCAAACCTTTTCATGATTCATAAGCCACTCCTCTGCAATTTGGATAATAGATTTCTCTCTCACAGTGACTTGCTAAACTTCAGAGTTAACTGTAGCTCGGGCTCTTTCTCCTTTCAGGTTTTTCATCTCCAAGAACGAGCAATACCCAAACTGAAGGAAAATACACTGCACAAAATATTAAGAAAACTCATTTTTTGAAAACAAATTTATTTGGAGAAGCTGATTTCCTTTGGCTAGCAGGAGAAAGTGGAGAAAATGAAGCCAAGTCTGAGATTTTTCTTAGCTGGTTTTCTGCTGTTGATTCTGCAGACAGGGCTTTGCTACGGGATAAAATGGATGTAAGTATCTGGCTCTATCTCTGCATTTTTAATGTTTTTGTAGGAATTGCTGGTCTCTTACCTGTTTGTACAACTGCTGCTTGAGGCATGCTGTAAACTGTTTAAAGAGCACCAAGCACTGCAATTCTCCAGGCATTGATTGATTTCAAGTGTGTGTACTAGGGGCTTATGCTAACAATGTCTCCATCTTCTTTCTAAAATATGCATGATTTAGGTTCATTTGGGTTTTTTTCTCCTCATTGATACCAAGAGAAAGGCACACACTTGAATGCTCACATGAGCCACTTAATGAAGCTCCTAGCATTAGCTCCTGCTATGCTGGGAGACTCTCCCACCAGGACCCCTGGCTGTGCTGAGTAGGAATTGAGAGCAGTAGGGATGGCAGCTGAGATAATGCTGCCCATCTCCAACCACAAGGGATGCATGACAGATAACATGTTTTTTTCTGGACCTTTTAACCTTTGGATTTTGTGAAGGGTGTTAAAAATGAGGTGAGGAGGGGGGAGGAGGGTGAAGAAATACCAGGGACTGTGGTCAAGTCAGGATTGAGTTTCCTTAGAGGTAATGTACTGCAAAGTGAAAACATCACCATCTCATTTCTTTGCTTAAACAAGCAATCACTTAGTTGCTTGCTACAAAACAAACAAACAAACAGGCCATTCCAAAGCCAATCTGGTTTCACGACCTTGATGAGTGATCTGTCTTTTCTACTTGGGTTTGGAAATAAGTAAGGGAGTATGGGTTTGTCTGAAATGAGCATCTTTGGTAGAAAAATAGGCACAATACTCTGTAAGACTCTGTAGTGCATTGAAGCAAGGATCTTTGGGATAGGTGGACAAGAAGCTCCTGTTTGACTGCTCTTTCTGCCACAGACTTCATGCTATGTCTAATTGCCATTCTGCTGTTCCAATCATTGTCACTTGAAGCTCTACTCATGCCACATTTTATAAAGGCTTAAATTTGGATATCTGCAAATTAAGGTATCCCATTGGAGCCAGTGTTTTTACTCCCCATCATGCGGTCAGGGAAGATCTTCCAGATGGCAATTCATCTTCTCCAAACAGAGATATCCAACAGAAATGTAAGTGATAGCCTCTGGTGATGCTGTGTACTGCAGGGAGCTGTTAGAAGCCACACATCTGCCTTTCATATCCATAAAGAGAAGGATGGTGAATCTCTCCATAGGGTGTTTAAATGCATATGGTCAGCTGGGAGGAAGAGTCACCTACTTTAGGGCATCTTTCAAGGTGGCATGCTTGCCTGTGGCAGGAAGATAGGAACTAGATGATTTCTAAAGTTCCTTCCAACCCAAACCATTCCATAATCTTTCATCTGCTGTCTCCATACTCTAAGAGCCATCTTGGAAGTAGAGGAGAGTAAGGATCTGGTTTGCTCTTGACTGCTTTGGCTTTACACCTTGTAGTGGTCAGCAAGAGCTCAATTACATAACCCAGCTGTTTCTTTCCACCATCTTCCTCCAGTGTTTAGGCTCTCAGCTCTGCCTGTATCCAGCAGCAGGAAAGGCAGGCATCTCCTTTCTGAATGACATTTAGCAACATGTCCATGGCACTCCTTTGCAATGTTTATTTCTATGCAGCACAGAAATAAAGCTGTTTTGTGGCACCCTGATTCAGCAGGGTTTTTATGTGTAGAACCATGACTGACTGGAGGGACTTGTCCATATGCTTGGCATTGGTGTCCCACTTAGGCAAGATGCTTAATCATGAGTGAAAGGCTTGGGTTCCTTCGAAGGGCTGGGGTGAGATGAGCTCTAGAATGAACCTGATAGTAGGGTATGGACAAGGCATAGACATGAAAACTGCTGGGAGGCAGGGAAAGGTCCCTGATAGCTTTGCTGTCAAAAGCAGCCTTTTGGCCGCTAAGTGGTTAAGCTGCAAGGGTTGCTTTTGGGGGTGAGGGGGGGGAGAAGCAGTTGGGGGCAAGATACCACAGTTGCTGCTCCTCTGCTTCCCAGCAGACATATCCCCCTATCAAAAAGTGAGTGGGAAAGATGAAAGCTGGGATTAAAGTGGTATTTGAAGCATGAATGGCATGCAGATGCACCACTGAGCTCCCCTCACACCTGTTTAAAACCTGGCAGAGACCTGCACTCTCTGTCCACAGCACTTTGCAGCTGGGATGCTGGCAGCTGGAAATGCACAAAATTATGTTTGGTTTTTCTTTTGTTTGTTTCTCCTCATTTCCCCACCCTTATTTTCCTATGGAAACACAGGCTAATTTTCCCCACTCCCCATCACTCTTTTTTCTTGGGGCTCAGGGACTGTCCTTAGAAATTACATGGGTAAGTTCTTGGCAAACAGAGTACCAAATACTGAGTAATACCTCAGACCTGCTGATCCTAGCTCTAGACTCATTCTGGGTGCTGTACAATTGAAATCTTCTCCTTCCTTCTCTTGCTCATGGACAGAGAGGTGGGGAAAAAGACTGGGATGAAGGAAGTGGAAAGTGCTATGTGATGTTTTCGGCTGTGGGATTTTCTCACTGGTCTGCCCACTGCATCATTTTTGTACACATGTACACAAAGAGTCGAGTTTCAAAGGGGATTTGGGAGGGGAGGGGAGAGATAAGGAGGTGGGTTTCACCAGCCTGGAGATGAGGGAGTGACTGATAAGAAAGGTGATAGGAAATTTAATTTTGATTCAGTGCATGATGTAATTGCAGGGGGAGGGGAAGAAGAAGAAAAACCACAATTTTCAGCCATTTAGGACTTCTCAGTAACACAAATATGCCCTGAAAATTAGTCAAAGCAGGGAGAAGGTAAAAAAAGAAATTATTTACTTTATTTTGCTTGGCTTATTTTTATGAGTTCTGTAGTCCAAATCCCCATCTGTTGGAAGTTGCTGTTGGGCCCCACAGAACATCCAGCATGGTGTGTGGACAGTCAGTACCTTGTACACATGCTCTTGCTCTTGTATACATTTCTCTTGCTGGAGAAATTTCATGTCTTGTGCTCTTTCATCTAAGCTCCAGAGAGCTACTCAGGTGTAAAGCCAGAGTATGGCTCCAGAGTATGGTTCCAGATCTTTGCTGGATCAGGATTGTTGTGGAGATGCAGCCTTCCTCATCAATGTATATGAGACCCTGCATCCTTTTTTTGCAAGCACTTTCCCATCCTGAGAGCAAAGCAGGTATGTGGGGAGGTTACATCATTTTGTGGTGCTCAGTGTTGTTTTGTCACAGTGGCTGGGAAGGTGAGGCAGCCCTTGGTTTCATGAGATATGTCCTAGGGCCAGTGCATCTAGTAATTCTATCACCTTCCCCATCTGCTTTTGCAATCCATTCAGCTTTCCCAGGAGAGTTTGGGTTTGACCAAGCAGGTGCTGGAGCAACTTATTTGGGTAGAACTGAAAAACAGATGAGCATTAGAGGGAGCTGCAGCCAGATGTGCATGCCCCAAAGGTGTGCAGGTGTTGGGATGTCCAGGCACAGAGTGGCTTCTGAGGCACTGCTGCCTCCACAGGGATTGGCATCTCCTCTGTCCCTCTGTATTGAATGTCCTCTTCAATGTGCTTGTAAATAAGCCAAACACAGCAAGTGATTTGGGCTGGTTATTTTTGGGTTTGTTTTGTTTGTTTTCTGTTTTGCAGGGGGTTTTTGTGTCTTTTTTTGTTGTTGTTGTTTCTTGGGGCTTTTTGGGGTTTTTTTGTTTGTTTGTTTTTGGTTGGTTGGTTGGGTTGGTTTTTTTTATTGGTGTGGGGTTTTTTTTTTTTTGTTTGTTTGGTTTGGTTTGGTTTGGTTTGGTTTGGTTTGGTTTTTCATGGCTTGCAGAATATGCCCAGGACAGCAAGTGCTGGCATGAGGAATACCATCATTTTTAGGTGGAGCTCAGTCACTTCAGGAAGTCTCTGCCTGTCCCCATTGTGGTGACCCAATGATGTCTCATGTGCCCTGGAGCAATCCCCAGCTGAGCTCCATTCCCAGCTATTCCTGCACAATTCCTATGGTTAAATTGCAGCCCCTCAGAAGCAAAAGGCAGCTTAACCACACCTTTTGGTGAACATGGGATGTCCCCCAGCCCACCAACCTTGAGCAGCCCTTCTGCAGCCAGCAGAAAGCAAGGGAGAAAATGGAAAGATTTTGTGCTTCCTGGCAGCTCCTGCTTCTCTCCTTCAATAAGCTGTGGGAGGGAGCTGGGACGTGGAGACACGGGCGCCTGTGAGGAGACTGTCTGCCTGGCAAGGGACTGCTAGATGAGCTGCTGTGAAAGAGCTGCAGGATGGGGATGGCAGGAGGGGAGTAGGCTGGGGGTGAGGAAAGGGGAGTACCATGTCTTTGAAGTTTGCTCTTCGCTCCTCAGGCAGCTCAGGAAAAGTTGACAAAGCTCCATGGCCGTCCTCCTCGGCACTGCGTGAGCCAACTCACTGCTGGCATTGACTTCATTCAAGCTTGGGCATGAAGTCAACAGCCTTGTGCCCACTACTGCCAGCACTGAATTTGGCACCATATCTGAAAACAGCTCTTATTTTAAGCTTTTAGTTCAGAGTTGGTTTCCCCCCACACACACTTCTCTCCCTCTTCCTCTTCTTTCTTTCTTTTTTTTTCTTTTTTTTTTTCTATTTTTTAACCACATAAATCCTACTTCTCTGTTTGAAAAGCCCTTGCAGAACCAGGGGAAGCATTTACCAGGGGATGTGGTGTCTTTCCCAGGACTTGTGGTCCCCAGACTGGAACTCATGCAGGGCAGGGTTGCAGGGGCATGGGCTGCCTTTGACTACCAGGAGCTTAGACAACGTTATTGTAACTCCCCTGCAAGCCTTTTCCAGATGAAAACCTGAGAAAATGAGGCTCCTGCAGATTAAAAACCTTCGATGAGATCAAATACAAACAGAACTCGTAATCTCTGCCTCTCTTTATTAACTTTTACCACATACTTCACTCTCCACAGCCATGTAATTTTGTCTTAATCTTTTTGTGTCACCCACATCTCTGCAAGATTAAGGAGTTTAGGAATAGGCATTAAAAAATGCCTTTTCAGAAAGCAAAGCTGGTTATTTGGAGTAGAAGTTCATGGTTTCACCAGCAGTCCCTTTGTGAGGGCAGGTCATGTCACACAAGGGGAGATGCCTTCAGAGAGAAGATTCTTTTACCCTTCCAGGGTGTTTTAAAGGACACCAATGTTTTGCTGCTCAATTGAAGGAGTTTTTTCTCCCTTTGGCTTGACCAGGAGCAGTGTCCTACTCACAGGGTACCTTGTAAACCAAACAATATATGACTTTCATGGATATCTGCTAACATCTGAAGGTGCTTCTTCCTAACCTGCACTTTCTATGAACAGTCCTCTCATGGAGCCCAGACATGCAGGAATGGGCCTATACCTCTCAAAGGACCTAACACTGCAGAGCATTAATGCTTTCAAATGAATTTAATAACTGCCTGAGATAATTAAAGGAGTAAACAAATGTCATGATCCATCTATGCAGATTTCCTCTGTAATCATGTTCATGGTTTTCTGTCAGTATCCAGAATTTCAATTGAAGGACCTGCTGTGTTATATAGAGATCAGGAGATGTTTGGTTTAGCCCTGTTTATTTAAAGGGATGGATCAAATATGTGTATATTTAAAAAAAACCCGTGAAATAACCACCCCTGGGTTTTCTGGAGAATGAAGAATGGGGCAGGAGAATTAAGTGAGAATATTATCAGGAGGAAACAGTGAAAAACAGCATTTCCAGGGTGAAAGCAGGTAAATCCCCTTTTCAGATGAAGAGTGTGAATCTACAGAAGGATGTTTGTCAGGGATTTTTTTCCCAGGTTGAGGAATGAAGGATGTTCTTCTAATTATGCCCTTGAGGGTTGGAATTTAAGGCTGGCTGTGCCCCATTGGCTCCAATTTCCCTCCCAGTGCTGGTGATCAGTGGAGACTGCATGAAGACAGGCCAGAGACCCACCACCAAATCCCACCATGGACAAGCCTCTCCCAGGAGATGTTTTTTTGTCCACAAATGGATATTTTTTCCCAATAATGTCATTGCAGGCAGTGGGTATCCATCCCCTGATGCTGCCAGAATTTAGAAAGCAGGGAGTAGTGGTGCATTTCCACAGGGAGGGTTTAGGTGACATAGAGTGAAGAAGATATTCCTAAATGTAGGACAGAGACTGGGCAAACCTAAGTTGTCAGGGCATGGAATAGATGACCTAATAGGCTTCTCAAAATCCTGATCTGTGATTTATAAATGCACTTTTCAGTCTCAGCAAGTGACTACAGTAACTGAGTTTTCTTTTCCATCTCCATTACCTTTTAATTTTTCCTCACGGTGCTTGGAGATGTTTCCAATTATAGGTTCTCACAAGCAAAGACATGAGAAGTTTAGGCCTGGGAGATGCTCAGAAAACACCTTCCTGCATCTTGCAGTTTTATTCTTGGTAGGCTTCCTGGAGCTCAGCTCATTCTATGAGAAACAGCCATTGCTGCATTTACTGAGTTCTCACGAATCAGAAGGTATTTTCCTTCTTCCATGGAGTAAATGGCTTTCTTGTTGCACTATAAAACTGCTTCTCTAATGGTGATTACTTCAGGCCATCTGTAATAATACAGTCTCATTCCATCACATCCTGTTTTTTCACACTGAGGATGAGTTTCAGTCTGAATTCTGCTTTCATCCCTACCTGTAGATGGTTATTTGTGCTATTCATGACTTGTCTGTAACGGTGAGACAGGGGTACCTCAATGTAGCCTTCCAAGTTCTTTAAAGAGGCTGAAGACCTCTATAAAGGATCAGAAAATGTAGTGTAGGACCTAGGAGATATATGCATCCTTCTGGAGGGCCATCCAAAACATTCCAAGGCCTCTCAAGTGGCACCCAACATGTCTGATTAGAAAACTGAGATGCTGCCTCGTGGTACAGCCTCTCTCAGAGACTTAGAATGTTCCTCATTTGCCTGAAGCTCAGGCTGTGAAGTTCTCTCACTGCTCCTGCCACACCTTGCCTGTTTCCCTTCCTGCTGGGACATGCTGTGCTGGAGTTTTTATCATTTATGCTCTATTACTGATGAGCTGCTTTGGCCTCTTGCCTGATTTGTATTTCAGGTCATTCCTGGGAATTGCTGATAGGCTTTCTGGGATAACTTTTCACAGATTCCTGGTGTCAAGTGCTCATATGTCATTCAAGCTCCGTGCTTATACCATTCAGATGTCTTTGTCCCTGCTCGGTGTCTGGGTTTCCTATATAGAGCAGAAAATGAGCACTTCTAAGTCATGATGGTATCTTACTATAGGTCCCAAAAGCACAAAAGGCTAACTACTTCCTAGATGTGGCTTTTTGCTTCCCATGAGCTAAAGAAGGATCCTGAAGGACTACTGTGAGGTCCCCACTGTAGAGGTTTGCTGTCAGGTGGCAGTCACACTATTCAGAGAGTCGTGTCTCTACCTTCAAGGACATGATCTCTGTGTTCAGATAACTGAACACCCACTATATCACCAACAAGTTTTTTGTCCACCAGTTCAGGTTCACATCTAAGGCAGGATGGGTTGCCTTCTGGAGGGGCCCCTCTCCAGACAAGGAACATTGTATGCACACCAGTGTGTATGGGAACGTGATGAACTGCAGGGCAGAATTTCTGAGGATTGAATCATAGAATCATTTAGGTTGGAAAAGACCTCTGTGATCATTGAGTCCAACCAATAACTTAACACTGCCAAGTCCACCACTTTTTCCTTTCTCTTGAAATTCACTAGCAATGACTTCTGCTTGCAGTATGTTTAACAGACCTATTAAATATGTGTATGAAGTATATATTTATATAGCTTTCAGTGCAGTGGTTTCCCTTCCAAGTTTGCCACTGTTTATCTAGTGCCAGAAATGCCAAACTCCCAGTCACCTGGGAATTTGTCAGTGCCGGCCTATTCATCCCCAGCAAGGATTTAATTCCTCCAGTTTTCATTAGGGCTCAATTTTAGCTCTGTTTCCATCTCATTTCACTTCTGAAGAATGTGGATGTTACAGTAATAAAGTGAAATGCACCCCAAAATGTGTTTGCTAATAAGCCAAACTAACCAAGATGGCTTGGGATGAATCTGAAAGCCAATACATTTAACAAGCACAGAAGGAAATATGTGTTAAAGTTGTGTTGCCATGATCAGATGCCATCAGATTATTGATTCAGCCTGCTAGAAAGTTGTTTTATGGGAATGAATAACTTTTATGACTACCCTAAGAAAGCCAAAAAGATACAAAGAGAGTTACACACTTGGCTTCTGCTGATCGTTGTGGGTGCTCAGGGAAGAAGAGTACCCTTGGCCCTGTGAGAGGCATGTCAGCATTTGTTCTTTTTTTAACCTGGAAAAGTTGGCAATTGGACAGTGGAAGAACCACCACTGTGGGATGTTTTTCTTTTCTTTCATGGTAACATATGTGCTGGTATTCATGGATCCCTTCTCAGATTTGGCTGTGGTGCTCTCTCTGCACATACTCCCACTGAGCTTTTGCACTATGGTTTTTGGAGACTAGAGAAACAGACTTATCTATCTGCAACAGCGATTGAATCGGTAGAGGCCCTTGGCATTAACTCTAAGTGAAAGCATATGTTTTGCAAATTTGATGATTTTTCCCTGGGCCTTGCAGAAGATTTTCTCCATAATTAATTACATGACATTTAGCATAATCCTTTGAGAGTGTGTGAGACAGATGCTGAATACAAAATACTGATAACACCAACGTTGCTTTTTTTCCCAAATGCCACAGTCTTGGGGGATCCAGATTTCTTTTATCATGGACCTGATGGGTCATTTTTTACTCTGTTGGGAGGTCTGTGCTCTTCATTCTTCAGCAAACAACCTTCCCCATAGGATTTACACATCCGGTTGACTTGACATATACCCCTGGAGCTTTGTGCAGCCTCCCCTCAGGAACTGAGAGAATTGCACACTGCTAAAGGGTGTTTCTTCCCACCAACCTTAAACACCTACCTCATATGAGATAAATCACTCTTCATAGTTGCTCATCTTTCTCACCAGCTTTATCTAAGCACCTATTTACAGAAAGCTTTAATTAAGTCAGGTGAATGTAGACGGCTAGACTGTGTTTTAATGCTTTTTTGCATGTGCTTGTCTCCTCAGAGCTCTGTCCAAGACTTCTTTGGCTTTGGCCCTGAATCAAACCCAGCACTGCAAGCAGCTTGAAGGGCTGGTGGTTTCTCAGGTGCAGCTGTGCCGCAGCAACCTGGAGCTGATGCAGACCATTATTCAGGCAGCGCGGGAAGTGATAAAGACCTGCCGGAAAACCTTTTCAGACATGAGGTGGAACTGCTCTTCAATAGAGCTGGCTCCTAACTACCTGCTGGACTTGGACAGAGGTAAAACAGCTCTGCTGGCTCACTTGGGACTGGAATCAGTAGAGTCAGCCTGTGTGTGTGTGTGTGTGTGTGTGTGTGTGTGTGTGTTTGTGTGTGTTATGTGTGTGTGTGCTGGAGATAGGAAGGGTCCTGCTCCTGGGAGGCCATGGAGGGACTGCAAAGCCTACTTGTCCTGTTCTCTGAGACCACATTCATCATTATGGTGCCAGTCATGCCAAGAGGCTCTTGGATCCAAGACCTTGTCTACCACAACTCTTACAAAGCAGGCCACCGTTCCGGTCTGCTCATCCCACTGGGAGTCATAGGATGAGCAAAAGGAGGCAGGAGAGTCCACAGGAGGGCTTAACCCCTTGCTCCAAGAGCAAATCACACCACAATGAACAAGATGCCTAAATCCATGTGATTCCTTGCCTTGCTGGGATGTTGTCTTATGTTGAAGAGTTCACTTAGATGTGCTCCAAACTACTGGTGCCATGGGACACCTCAGCTGCAGTCAGTTGGTGTGTTGGCTGCTCTGTGGGACACCGACTGTGTGAGTGAGTCTCTTTTTGGGGAATGTTTATGTGTTCCAGGAGGCTGAGCTGGAGTTCTTGTCTCTTTCAGGCACAAGGGAGTCAGCATTTGTATATGCCCTCTCTGCTGCTGCCATCAGCCACACCATTGCCAGAGCCTGCACCACCGGGGACCTCCCTGGCTGTTCCTGTGGTCCCATCCCAGGTGAGACACCTGGACCTGGGTATCGATGGGGAGGATGTGCAGACAACCTCAACTATGGTCTTATCATGGGGTCCAAATTTTCAGATGCTCCCATGAAGATGAAAAAATCAGGATCACAAGCCAATAAACTGATGCATCTGCACAACAGTGAAGTAGGGAGACAGGTAACAAATCCACAAGAGTTATTGTACTTGTACAATCATCTGTAGTGTTGGTCACGTGGTGAGGTTCAGTGTCTCTATCAGCTAGCAAAAGGAGCAGGTTACTCAAAGAATGCTCTGAAGTCCTTTGGCCTGCTGAAAATTGTAGCTGTATAACTCACCCTGTGACTCAGGGAGTCCCAAATGCTGTTATCAGCCCTGTTTAACCGTGGGTGGGATGTCTCATTGTCCCATTTGCACAGCCAGTGCTGGCTCTGGCTCTGCCTGCCCCAGGAGGTGTGGTGGGGATGGGTCCCATCGTGCTCTGCCAAGGGCATTGTGGGGACAAAGTGCTGTGTAAACATGGAGGATTGTCATCTGCCAGATGCATCCAGCAGCAGTTGCCTCCAGCCATCCCTGCAGGCAGGAGGGAGGATTTTTTTTCCTTTTTAAACTGCTATGCTAGTGATTATTCTCATATCTGGCACAAGCTGCTTTTAACAGCTTGCATCCAGTGGAGGGATAATATTTACCATGTGCAGTGCCTGGTGTGCACTGATGTGCAAATCCCTATAGCAGCTGTCCATACAGCTGAAGAAATGGATGGGGGAGGGCTATAAAACTGACCCCTGCACCCATCTCTGAGGCTCCAGTGGTTCCACAGACTGCTCCTACTGCACAGCTTGGTCTTTCCAGGGCTGCCTGTGCAGACTAACTTGGAGCATGCTGAGCTCATTGGGAGCTTGCTGTGTAGCTACAGGCTGAGTCCACCTTTGCAGAGCACAACCATGCTGAATTTTCCCTCTCTGGCTTTTTTTTTTTTTCCTACAATTCCCACACTATTTGGTTTGTTTGCTTGGGGTTTGAGGGGTTTTTTTAAATTTTATTTTATTTTTGTAATGTCTTGATTTTTTGTTTCAATTGCAAAGGGCAAATTTTTGTTTGGGACACTGCGTTGCCATGGCTGGTGCATTCAGCCCTTCCTGGCAGCATCCTGCCATGTCCCACTGAAATGAGAACAGTGCAGAATCAAAGTAAAAGGCTGTTTTGGCCCATGACCAGCAGAAAGGCAGGGTGAGAGTGCACTGAATTCAACAAAGCCATGACACCTCTCTTACCAAAGCCCAAAGCTGCTGGAGGTTGAAATTTATGTTAATTATCTATTTATGGAATGTTTTGATATTCATCTCCTTAGGAATTTAGAGGGTGTAAATGCAGCCCAATATAGATATCTAATTAAAATTCAAAATACTCTTCTGTCATCTGGCTGCAAAGGAGCCCTTGTGAAAGTAGTCCTGGACTGATAGTGATCACCAAAGAGCTGTGGGATCTCATTTGCTTCCAAAGTAGCCATTCCAGACTGCCTGTGCAGAAATGAGAACAGTAGGACTTTTCCATAGCAGCTCCTGCTAAGGAAGCACCTTCATTAGCGAGCTTGTGGGATGTTTGGCTGTAAGAGAAGGGCATTTCCTAACTCCTGCATTCCTTTTTGCAGGTCTTGAAAGCCTCTCTTGAAATGAAATGTAAGTGCCATGGAGTTTCTGGGTCATGCTCTATCAAGACCTGTTGGAAAGGCCTTCAAGAACTGCGAGACATTGCATTGGACCTCAAAACCAAATATTTATCTGCCACCAAGGTTGTTCACCGGCCCATGGGCACACGCAAATACCTTGTGCCAAAGGATATTGATATCAGGCCAGTCAAAGAGACAGAGCTGATTTACCTGCAGAGCTCACCTGATTTCTGCATGAAGAATGAAAAAGTGGGGTCACATGGGACCCAGGACAGGTGAGGACTCCTGCAGTGGGTACTCTGCACTGTACTCTGCCCCCAGAGAGGAAAGGGCAAGAGGGGAACATGCATGAATAAGGGGCAATCAAGGAGGTGACATATACATGCAGGTAAAGCACATCTCTGACATACAATATGGTTTATTAATTCCTAACCCTGTTCGTGATGGCTGTGGCCAAGACAGGGCTTGCTGACACATTTTCCATTACACAATCAGGCACAATGTACATTTCAAAACTCCCTGGGCAGCTTACGTCCATGGGAACTTGTAAGGACCAAGCAGCTGCTTTATACTGTGTTGAGTCTCAGTAATTTCTTGCAGTCACTGCTGATTAGAAGAGTTGTTACTCTAAGGCTCCCCAAGCAGGCAAATGTTAACCCAGTTAGAACCAGCATTCCTAGATTGCCTTAAAAAAATCCACCCCAAAACTGCAAAGATGATATTTAATTTTTTTCTTCTGTTGCATATTAAAGGTCCAGGTGTGTTTGTATTGCTTATGACTCTGCAGAGGAATTTCTTTATTGCATTAGTATTGGGGATTTAAGGTCATTATGGTCAAGCGCAGCCTCCACTGGGCAGCATACTGTCCCCTTTAACAGGCAGCAAACATGCCTTTCTCTTCCCATCATCTGTTTAATTTCCTCCAAGACCAACTAATTCAACATTTCAACAATCTGAGCATCTCTAGGTGGGCAGACCCATCTATCTCTCTAGAGCTGAACCATCAACAGCCAAAAAAGTGTATGTTTCCAGAATTTTCCTAATTTTTGTTAGGTGGCTGCAATGGCTGGATTTCGACTCTCTTGCTGGTTTACCTTTCTTTAGGTAGTTCTCATAATTCTTCTTTGCTCTTTCTGTATTTCATGGTGGAGGCTCAGGCAAGTGGCAAGGAGTGTGTGCCTGGCCTGTTTTGGGATGCCTTCCTTTTAATGTAGTGGACATGTATTTGGACCATTATGGTTCAATGGAGAGAAGATTTTGCTGAAATGAAATTACCCAAATGCAGACAAGATAAACTATATATGCATCTGGGAATGTGGGGACATGGGTTATTGGTGGGCTTGGCAGTCCTGTGGACTTGGTGATTTTAGAGGGCTTTTACAGCCTAAATGATTCTGTGATTCTGCATCAGCATGTAACTGGTGGAACTGATCAGCAGATAAGACACCTGAATGAGACAAGACTGTCTTTTTTGTCCCCTGATGCTTTATGACAGTTGATGTCCTGTATCCTCTGACATCAATGCCTGGACTGCTCTACAATGGCACATATCTGACAGCTCTGTGGTGGGAACACCAGGCTGACCTTTATCACCAATTCAGTGGTGGAGCATTAATTATCAAGTGAAGATGTTTATAAGTCACTAAGAATAGCTAGGAAAAGGCATGTATTGAAACAGGTTTCTGAAAGAAAATGTCATCTTAGTGGAAGTGAAGTTTTTGTGGATTTGTATGGATCTTGTATGATATTTGTGCCTTGAAAATGATCTCTTTGTTCTGCCTTTCTGTTTTGCAAGGAAAAAAAATTGGTGAAAATTATTTGGAAATTAGTTTTATAGGAATTGCATTAAATGAACAGGTTGTGTCAAAACAAAGTTGAATTCATTACAGATTTGCCAAGTAAAACATTTTCCATGAGCTGAAATCCTTTCAAGGGACAGGGAGGTGTGACTTCTTCATCTAATCTTATTTTACAGCAGATTTCAACTTTTTATCCCATCTAGGGATGAAAAATATGTCAAGGTCCTGAATGATTTTTTTTTTCCTTCTGAGGAAAGGAAAATGTGTGTTGCAGGCGTCCGTTTATCCCGAGCTGGATGACAGCCATGATTGTGAACCTGCCAGCCAAGGGTCCACAGGAAGTGAGATTGAGTGGGGATTTAGAGGACCAAGATATTAAGGTGGAGGGGATGACTTTCAAAAGGAACTTGTCAAAAAATACTCCTCATTCTCAGATGTGCAGGATGGTGATGGCCATGGGAGGGGAGGAGGGTGAGATAGTCCCGTGCTGAACTTCAGGCACCACTCAGGCCAAGTTTTTAAGATCATGTGTGATTGGGCTTGTTTTCATTACAGTCCATCTGCAGCCTCTTGAGAAGATGCCTGGTGTTTCAAAATTGGCATGTGTTATACGAGCCATAGCAACTCCTTTCCTGAACTAAATTACTAGTGGAAATAAATGTAAAATACACACAGTGTGTTTGAAGATTGGTCCACGCTTCCTGGGAAAGGGAGGAGATCTTCCCTAGTCTCCTCCTCCCATGGATGCCTTTTTCTCTTTGCAATTTTTCTCTCATGAAGAGGGCTCCTAAATGCATTTTAAATGTGGTGCCTCTGTTCCAGCCTGCTGCAGGGCTGCAGAGATAATGTCTAGTTACAGGGATAAGGTAGAAGGAGCACAAAAGGAATGCTGTTAGAGAGAGGACGTGGCAAAATGTGTTTTATGCTTCAGAATGATGTAGAAATGCTCACATGGGAATAGATCAAGCATGTTTTTATTTAATGAGTCATGTCCTGGAGGCAATTGAACATTTTATCTTTATGTACATAAAATTTTTCTGAAGGTAGATCCCACTGTTTCCAAGTAGTCTAGTTTTTAAGGCCAGTCATGCCAATGAAATAAGAAAGGGGGGTTTTTTGTTGTGATCCCTCTATTGGTCTACTCTGTCTTCAACCACCTTCCCATATCCTTTCTGGCCTTTTTCTGGTACAGGGCTCAGTCCATGCCTGGGCTGTATAGTTCGGTCCCCCATGTCCACAGCTCCGGGATCTTTGATCTGGGCATCTTCAGTACTTTCCAGTCCTGCTTTCAGCCTCCAAAGGGATTTGGAGGGGGGAATTTGCCACTAACACCCCATTTTCCTGTTTCTTGATTAAAATATTCATGTTGATGCATTTTTGTGACAAAAAATGAGCAGTTTTGCAGCATATCCAGGGAAAGTCCTTTTCGTCCTCCCTCTCCCCAAGGTCTGGTTCTTGCTCATAGCATGCTGGAAACAGGATGGAGGTTGATGGTTAAGTTGCAACACCTTGGATGGGTTGGAGTTTGCTGTATGCTGTGGGAAACAATCCTGCACTGCCAGGTGGGAGGAAAGGATAATCTAATTGGTGATCCCTCTAATGTGAGGGATCATATTATGCAGACTTATTGTGTGTTTTTCAGGCAGGAAAAGGAATTACTTTGTAGATGAACCATATGAAAATCCACTCAGAAAATGAGCCCCCTGTTACTCAAAAGCCTTTTAGAGCTCTTTCCTGAATGGATTTCAAAGCCTTCTTCAGAACAAGCCTGAAACATTTTCTAAGACACTTTGGACATTCTTAGCTTGTTGAAATTTAGAAATGGTTTGGAAATCTGCATGCCTCCAAGTGCTCAGGGTATGTCCAGATTTCAAAGTCATGGAACTAAACTCAAACCTGAGGTTTGAGGCCTCTTTGAAGTGCTGAAAAGCTGATTAAGGAGCTGATTTTTGCAACTGGTATCCAAGTCTCCTGCAAACAAGACTTACTGCCACACTGACTCCAGCCAAACTCTGCTTATATACCACCATCACACTTTCATAACCAATTAAAAATGGTCTGGAGAAAAGTCTAAAGAAGCTGATCTGTTAAGCTGCAAGTAAAACTTTCAATACAACAAATCAACCACTGGGAAAGAAATGCAAATATTCCCCTTCTCAGAGATTTCTTGGACAAAAGCACTTTTTCATCTTTTAATAAAGTAGTTCAGTTGCTCCTGCCTGAAAAAATCACTACCAGCTTTGAGTAAATGAAAAATAGTGGCAGATTATAAAATTGAGATCTCTTTTGTGAGAAAAGAAGCAAAAATATGAATCCTTTTTATAAACCGGGTGCAATGTATCATGTTTCAAAGGCTATTTAAGTCTCCCTAATGAATCCAAAGAAAGGGAAATTCTGCCATGCATGCAAAAGCATCCAGCCCCTGAAACCTTGCAGAGATAACAGAGCTGTTTATTACTGATCCTTCCCAGAGCAGTCTTGGAATCAAGCCAAATGTGGGAAGGAGCTCTCTCAGGCTGCAGAAATCAGGCTGCAGCAAACTATGTGCTGCAGCCTGGCTGGGTTGATCAGTCACCACTCCTCAGCTGACTCCCTGTGGCAAGGAGTGTGGCCACTCTCTGGTGGCTGCTCCTTGCTCACATACCCTTTCTTTACTCCAATATAAAATATTAGTCACAAATGGCTTAGGCTGGTATGCTTTCTTGGATATGAACATACCTTAAGTTGGCTGAGCATGCATCTGCTGCTCAGTTTTCAGTGTTCAGTGGCAGCTCTTGATACCACTTCTTTCCTGCTACCCCAAAATTATGCTCTGTATTGTGTATGAGGATTGTTCAGCCTGTGGAAGAGAAGGCTGGGGAGACCTTAAAGCTCCTTCGAGTGCCTTTAGGGGCTCCAAGGTAACTGGAGAGGGACTTTGGACAAATGCCTGGAGTGATAGGACAAGGGGGAATGTCTTCCCACTGCTAGAGAACAGGGTTAGATGGGATATTGGGAAGAAATTATTCCCTGTGAGGCTGTTCCCTGGAACCTGTTTAGAGAAGTTGTGGCTGCCCCATCCCTGGACATGTTCCAGGCTATACTGGATGGGGCTTGGGACAACCAGTGGAAAGTGTCCCTACTCATGGCACGGGGGTTGGAACAGGCTGATCTCCATTGTCCCCTGTGCCAAGCACTGGTGAGGCTGCACCTTGAGTGCTGTGTTAGTGTCATTGCCCTTGCTCCAAGGCAGACTTTGAGGTGCTGCAGTGTGTCCAGAGAAGGGCTGATGGAGGGGTCTGGAATACAAATCATACGAGGAGTGACTGAGTACTGGCATTGCTGAGTCTGGAGAAGAGGAGGCTCAGGGGAGACATTATCATACCCTACAAATCCCTGAAAGGAGATTGTAATCAGGCCGTGGTTGGTCCCTTCTCCCAACCAGCAAACAGGACAAGGAAATGGCTTCAAGCTGCGCTGAGGGAGATTAAAAATAT